AATTTTTCTATAAACTTGGACAAATTTGAATTTAGTTACGCAATTGTGATCTTGAACCAATTTTATGGTGGATTATGATATTTTTGATGGATTAGTTAGTTGATTGTGATCTTGAGGAGATAGTCAAAGATATTCGATGTATTAATTAACTCGAACAATTTGGATTTAGTTAGGTGATTGTGATATTGAACTAAATTTCTCTGTGATCTATGAGATTTTAGTTGGATTTAGTTAGGTGATTGTGTCTTCAGAAGATAATCAAAGATGTTTGATGGGTTATGAGATTATAGGTCTAATAAATGAGCATGGTGATTATTATATTGATGGATAAACAGATATTTAATTAGTTTGAAACAATTTGGATTTAGTTCAGTGATGATCTTTTAACCTGATTTTATGCTGGATTATAAGGTTTTGGTTGGATTTAGTTAGGTGATTGTGATTTTGATGATGAGCTAGTAAAAGATGTTCCGTGGATTATGTGAATTTAGGTCTACTAGGTGAGCATGTTGATTATTATATTGGTGGGTAGAAATAAGGGCCACACGAGTGACTCAAGGCGATGGTGCCACTACTGAAAATAACTGGTAAACACGACAAGAGAGGCGGAGAGACTGTGGGTGATGGGAGTAGATGGACTTTGATCCAGCATCCTACCTCTTCAAAGATGTTTGATGGGTTATGAGATTATAGGTCTAATAAATGAGCATGGTGATTATTATATTGATGGATAAATAAATATTTAATTAGTTTGAAACAATTTGGATTTAGTTCGGTGATGATGATCTTTTAACCTAATTTTACGGTGGATTAGAAGGTTTTGGTTGGATTTAGTTAGGTGATTGTGATTTTGATGATGAGCTAGTAAAAGATGTTTGGTGGATTATGTGAATTTAGGTCTAGCAGGTGAGCATGTTGATTATTATATTGGTGGGTAGAAATAAGGGCCACACGAGTGACTCAAGGCGATGGTGCCACTACTAAAAACAACTGGTAAACACGACAAGAGAGGCGGAGAGACTGGGGTGATGGCAGTAGATGGACTTTGATCCAGCATCCTACCTGCCAGTGCACTCTCCTTCCCCGCTGATCCGGCTTGGTGTCCTTGTCCTGTTTGCGGATTTGTGTCACGCACTTGATTAAGCATCCCACGTTCTCCTAATGTGCGCCCTTGGCCTTGACGATAGGTAGCGCCGTGTTCTCGGACGCGTCCCGTGGGTAAAATTCAGGTATGCGTCGATTGTCTGAGCTCTTGCTCGCCATTGTGCCGCCCAGCAAGGGAACACATGATGTGGGATCAAGACAACACACATAGCAACCCGCCACCAGGCAACGGACGCCCATCCGGACTTACAGGGAGCGGAGGTGGACAAAAAGGTGGATGTTGAGCTCCATAGTAGTCTCAACAGTGTGCTCATTAGTAAGAGTAGCACGAGCAAGAAGATCCTGGACATACTGCTCTTAGGAAATAAAGAAGCCATTAGAGGTAGAAGAAACCTCAATCTCATGGAGCAATTTGGATTTACTTAGGCGATTGTGATCTTGAACAAATTTTATGGTGAATTATGAGATTTTTGAATGGATTTAGTTGATTGTGATCTTGAGGAGATAGTCAAAGATGTTCGGTGTATTAATTAATCTTGAAGAATATGGATTTAGTTAGGTGATTGTGTCTTGAGATAATAATCAAAGATGTTTCGTGGATCATGAGATTTTAGGTCTAGTAGATGAGCATGGTGATCATTATATAGTTAGGTGAATGTGATTTTGACGAGCTAGTAAAAGATGTTCGGTGAATTATTGTGAATTTAGGTCTAGCAGGTAAGCATGTTGATTATTATATTGATGGATAAATAAATTTTAGGTCTAGTAGATGAGCATGGTGATCATTATATAGTTAGGTGAATGTGATTTTGACAAGCTAGTAAAAGATGTTCGGTGAATTATTGTGAATTTAGGTCTAGTAGGTGAGCATGTTGATTATTATATTGATGGATAAATAAATTTTCAATAAATTTAAAACAATTTGCATTTAGTTAGACGATTGTGACCTTGAATCAAATTTCATGGTGGATGATGAGATTTTTGATGGATTAGTTAGTTGATTGTGATCTTCAAGAGATAGTCAAAGATGTTTTGTGGATTAATTAATCTTGAACAACTTGGATTTAGTTAAGTGGTTGCGATACTGAACCGAATTTCACGCTGGATTATGAGATTGTAGGTGGATTTAGTTAGGTGATTGTGTCTTGAGAATATTGTCATAGATGTTTGCTAGTCTATGAGATTTTAGGTTTAGTAGATGGGAATGGTGATTATTATATTGGTAGATAAACAAATCTTTATTTTAGTTTGGAACAATTTTGACTCACTTAGGTAATTGTTATTTTTCAACCAAATTTACGGTGGATTTTGAGATTTTTTTGGATTTAGTTAGGTGACTGATCTTGACAAGATAGTCAAATATGTTTGGTGAATTATGTTAATTTAGATCTAGTAAGTGAGCATGGTGGTAATTATATTGGTGGATAGATGGATCTTTAGTAAAAATGAAGCAATTTGGATGTAGTTGGGTGATTGTGATCTTGAACAAATTTCACGGTGGATTACGAGATTTTCAATAGATTTAGTTAATAGATTGTGATCTTGGGGGATGTCAAAGATGTTCGGTGGATTAATTAATTTTGAACAGTTTCAATTTAGTTAGGTGATTGCGATATTCAACCAAATTTCTCGGTGATTTATGATATCTTAGTTGGATTTAGTTAGATGATTGTGTCTTCAGAAGATAGTTAAGGATGTTCGATGGATTATGAGATTTTAGGTCTAGTAGATGAGCATGGTGATTATTATATTGGTGGATAAACAAATGTTTAATTTAGTTTGGAACAATTTAGATTTAGTAAGGTGATTGTGATATTGAACCAAATTTCTCTGTGATTTATGAGATTTTAGTTGGATTTAGTTAGGTGATTGTGTCTTGAGAAGATAGTCAAAGATGTTTGGTGGATTATGAGATTTTAGGTCTAATAGATGAGCATGGTGATTATTATATTGGTGGATAAACAGATAAAGTGATATTTAATTTAGTTTGCAATTTGGATTTAGTTAGGTGATTGTGATCATTTAACTTAATTTTAGGATGGATTATAAGGTTTTGGTTGGATTTAGTTAGGTGATTGTGATTTTGACGGGCTATTAAAAGATTTTCGGTGGATTATGTGAATTTAGGTCTAGTAGGTAAGCATGTTGATTATTATATTGGTGGATAAATGGGTCTATAGTAAACATGGAGCAATTTGGATTTAGTTAGGCGATTGTGACCTAGTACAAATTTCATGGTGGAGATTTGCAATGGATTTAGTTGATTGTGATCTTGAGGAGATAGTCACAGATGTTCGGTGGATAAATTAATCTTGAACAATTTGAATATATTTAGGTGATTGTGATATTGAACCAAATATCTCTATGATTTATGGGATTTTAGTTGGATTTAATTAGGTGATTGTGTCTTGAGATGATAATCAAATAAGTTTGGTGGATTATGAGATTTTAGGTGCAGTGGATGAGCATGGTGATTACTATATTAGTGGATAAGCATATATTTAATTTAGTTTGGAACAATTTGGATTTAGTTAGGTGATTGGGATCTTGACGAGCTAGTAAAAGATGTTCGGTGGATTATGCGAATTTAGGTCTAGTAGGTGAGCATGTTGGTTATTATATTGGTGGATAAATAATTTTTTAATAAACTTGAAAAAATTTGGATTTTGTTAGGTGATTGTGATCCTTTAACTTAATTTTATGGTGGATTATAAGGTTTTGGTTGGATTTAGTTAGGTGATTGTGATTTTGACGAGCTATTACAAGATTTTCGGTGGATTATGTGAATTTTGGTCTAGTAGGTGAGCATGTTGATTATTATATTGGTGGATAAATGGGTCTATAGTAAACATGGAGCAATTTGGATTTAGTTTGGTGATTGTGACCTATTACAAATTTCATGGTGGAGATTTGCAATGGATTTAGTTGATTGTGATCTTGAGGAGATAGTCAGAGATGTTCGGTGGATAAATTAATCTTGAACAATTTGAATATATTTAGGTGATTGTGATATTGAACCAAATTTCTCTATGATTTATGGGATTTTAGTTGGATATAATTAGGTGATTGTGTCTTGAGATGATAATCAAATATGTTTGGTGGATTATGAGATTTTAGGTCTAGTGGATGAGCATGGTGATTACTATATTGGTGGATACACATATATTTAATTTAGTTTGGAACAATTTGGATTTAGTTAAGTGGTTGTGATCTTTTGACCAAATTTTAGGTGAATTACGAGGTTTTGGTTGGATTTAGTTAGGTGATTGGGATCTTGACGAGTTAGTAAAAGATGTTCGGTGGATTATGCGAATTTAGGTCTAGTGGGTGAGCATGTTGGTTATTGTATTGGTGGATAAATAATTTATTAATAAACTTGGAAAAGTTTGGATTTAGTTAGGCGATTGTGATCTTGAACCAAATTTTATGGTGGATTATGAGAATTGTGATGGATCAGTTAGTTGATTGTAATCTTGAGGAGATAGTCAAAGATGTTCGGTGTATTAATTAATCTTGGACAATTTGCATATAGTTAGGTGGTTGTGATATTTAAACAAATTTCTCCGTGATTTATGAGATTTTAGTTGTGTTTATTTAGGTGATTGTGTTTTGAGAAGATAGTCAAAGATGTTTGGTAGATTATGAGATTTTAGGTCTAATAGATGCGCATGGTGATTATTATATTGGTGGATAAATGAATATTTAATAAATTTGGAATAACTTGGATTTAGTTAGCCGACTGTGATCTTGAATCAAATTTTATGGTGGATTATGAGAGTTAATTTGGCGGCGCTTCGCTTCTTCCTCGAGGAGCATGTGCAGTGAAGTGGTGCGGGGGCTCGTGCGGCCTGCGGAGGCCTGCGAAGGTGGGCGGTGACACCTGCAACTTGTGCACAATGGCGACTCCACGCATCTCTTGCGCCCCGCAACCCTCTCCTTCCCGGCACAACAGGAGTAGGAGCAAGGATGCCGAGGCGGTTCAGGTTTGCCTCCACCTCGTCTCTCCCTCCTCTCTCACTCTGGTCTCCCTTTTTTGTCTCATTCTACTGCTTCATTCAAGCATATATTTTAAATTGCTAGGTATTCCAGGTAGTTAGCCTATCTATGGACTACACCTACATTTGATGTTAGAACTCTGATACTAATTTATGTTCTTGTTGCATAGGTGAATGGTGCTTTAGCTTCAATGATCAATTTTATTGCTAAATATTTTTTCCACAGAAAGTGTCAAAGAATATACAACTTGGTATAAAGAAGTTTTGTTATGGGGAAATAAAGATTCTTGTATGCAGAACTATTTGGGCTCCCGCAGCTGTATCAGTTGGTTTTAGTTCTCAGATTTTTTACTTTGCCTTTTTTGGCAAAAAAGTTGGATGTATGAATCTGAGATCTGGACCTCAAGTTCACTGCTTTTCTTTTCATCTGCAGTCGCGAGGAAGAGTAGGAAGATCAGGCAGAGAGGGTTTCACACACCTCTTCTACACTGACAAGTCTTTGCATTCCAGGATTGCCATGGTGAGCTGCTGCTGTAATGCTTTAATTTTCTTTTCTTTTGTCACTTTGTTAAAATTTGTTATCTTATTCTGATGCTATGATTTGTGATGGCTAGATGAGCTTTGTGGTGAAAAGTCTCCTTTATTTTGTTTACCTACAGATCTTGAATGCACGATTGATAATTTTGCTGGATAGGTTAGAAATCTAAATTATAGACATTTTAAAGGATTTAGTTGGTAAACATGGAAAGCCAAGAAAAATATATAGCTTACTTACGATGGACCTGAAGTATGCCTAACCTTGGACTGCATTTATTGCCTGTCATAGGTGTGTTTCTTTTATTCTATATTTGGGGGGTTCTAAGCTATTTAATTAGGAAGCATACAGTTTATCCGTTTGAGACCCAAGTCTGTTGGCTACTGCAGGGAGCTTTGGATGGTGGTCTTGATCTTCCGCACAGTGACAGGAGATTTGCTGGCTTCAAGAAGGATAAGAAGCAGTTGGGCGCTGAGATTCACCTCAAATACATCTATGAAGGTCATGTTGCTGACTACATGAAGGTGAGTTGGATCCATTGCCCTCGTGGTATTATAATGCCATTTCTTCACTCCCTAGGGCTATCATTGTTGTATACATGAATTCTTTCTGGAAGATATATCTGGGCCTGATTCACCCATATAAAGTATCCTAAAGCAGTGTACTTTGTTCTTATTTCTGAAGGAGCTTACTGAATCTCGTTTTAACTGCTACCCTACCCTATTTCAGTCAATAGCTGATGAGGAACCTAAGAAGTACCAATCTCACTTCAGTGAGTACATCAAGAAGAACTGAAGAAGATCAAGGTGATTTTTCTCCCTCTTGTTAACCTTTGTCCTCTCATTTTGATGCTATAAACATGACTACATGAGGGAGAGAAGAGAATACGACAAAGTTAGATGAGATTTGCAGTGAAGAGCTTTCTTTCATTTGATTACCTACATATCTTGATTGCATGATTGATTTTTTTGCTGGGCATGTTAGGAATGCAAATGCCCCTTTATAGGAGCTTGAAACTTCAATTTTCTGATGGGGAGTTATGTGTGGTTTCAGGGTTACAGATGCCACAAGGCTTGCCTAACAAATGTTCCTAGAAAAGGAATGATTGAGAAAAAAGGTGGTTCTTTCTTTAAATGTTTTGATCCTCTTTTTTATTCTAAAAGGAATGCTTATGTTTATGTTTCACTATTTGTAAAGTAAACATATGTCTGGTTTTAGAGCAAATTTCAGGTTAAACATTTTCACTATTTGTATTCCTGGTTTGAACATATGCTAGAATCATATCTACTCCTGAAAATCTTTGTATATATATGCAGTCGTTTTGGAATGGGCTATGATTCCTTTTTAGTATTTTAGGTTACACATTTCTCCTAAGAATCTTGATATTCACTATATTAGTATGGTATAGGTTTGTAATTTTTCCTTGGGAATCTATATATCCAGTCAAGCTGGGATAGGCTATATTTTTTTTACTCGGTCATGGCGATGGCACTCTGCCGATGACATGGCAACAGGTCAATAGTTCATGTTCTTTCTATACATTTTTGCAGGCTTTGCTCTCCAAGTGCAGAACACTTTCCCACTCCCCATCGATGACGATCTTCCTGTATGAGCATTTTCATCTGTGCTCCCTATTTTCCTAGCTCCACTAAGAATGAAGCCATTAACTGTTGACTGTAATTGCAGGGTAGCTCTTTTAGTACCACAGAAGTTATTCCGAAAGGTCATTAAGCTTATTCTAATGCCAACTTCTGTAGAGGTGCTTGTCCTGGTTATTACAGTATGTTCCTTTTGACAACCAACAGAAGTGTACAAATTATTTAAATGGGTTCGCAAGGTATTTTCATTAGCAATGCCACAAGGCACCAGAAAGCACAAGTAGCGAGATTGTGTTAAATTAATCTGCTAGAGTATGGTGATAACAGAGGGGCACTGTTTTTGAAAATTGTTTTTTCTGTTTCAATTGTATAGGGCCCTCCGCAACGATATTGATTTCATCAGGTGTAGATGTTTAGTTGGACAGATATTGTTCGTCACTTTCTTAGTGCATGCCTAGCTGTTTCCCCTTTTTACATTGCTTCTTTTCTGTAGGATTTCTTGAAACATAATAACTTGCTTCCACAATTGTGGAATGATCATGGTTTCTTTGCATTCCTGTACTTTCATATGATTAACAATTTCATGGCTAACCTAGGTAACAAGCAGACATCATTGGCATTAGCCAATGCATTTCCGTTAAATGCCCTGCTGGCCGAGTGCAACTTCGTTCTTCTTTAGTGGGTATTTGTATTTTCCAAAAAGAAGTTGGTGCACCTCATAGTTGTATTGTAGCCTGACTATTATGCCTAGATTTTGCTCTATGATACAGAACTAAGTAGTGATTTGAGCTGCCTTATTCCCAGATAGTGACTATCTAAATTATTGACATCAGAGGACGGGGCGTCGACCCGTTGGCTGGGCAGCTGGGGTACCAGCCAGTCCACCCGAGTTCGAGCCCCGGCTTTGACGCGTGATGCCCGCGGAGCTTTTCCTATAAAAAAATACCAACGAGGGTTAGCCCTTGGGTTGGTCTCATTTAAAAAAAATTATTGACATCCACTCAAATAAATATACAAGATTTGTATGAAAGGGAACCACTTATCTTTTTAACAAGAAATATGTTTAGCGTCATAACAATGTTCAGGTCGCACATGCATACCAGAACACTGAGGGGTGGTCTTACAAATGACAACTACTTTCATGTCAGTAATTTCTTCTGTTTGACATATTCCACGAGCCTTCTTGCTAGCTCCAGTCATACAATTTATCATTATATCCACCATATTTTTATGCTCGGCATTCCTAATCTGCCGGTCACAAGAAACTGTAGTATAGTGTCAGGTCGCACATTCTTTTTGTTTCATGGTTCAGTACAGGTCTCATGGTGAGCAGCAGCACTAGGTTGCAGTATAATGTCAGCTGATTGCAACATCCTGAGTTATTTTATCGATGTTTTGCATCTGGAAGCTTGAATCTCTTTCAACTTTCAGTACACATATATTCTGATTTGTGCATCTTTTTGGTTGTAATCATATGGCTTGCATATTTTATCGGACTGATCAGTCACAAAGATCGGACTGATCATATTTGGTACAGAATATCAAAAGAAGCATTTATATCATCTTTTTGTGTGCTTTATCTGTAGAAAAGTACCATGGGTTGATGGTGTTGGATCCAATTACTATATGATGTAATTGACTGCTATTCCTAAGAACTGCTCCTGGACACAGTGCTCTATGTTATCATGTTTTACATTCTATTGTGTCGCCTATCTTTATAGTTACTCGGATCTTACATTTCAATTTTTGTATTTTTGTCTGTGCAAGTGTTGTCTTCCTACTATCAAACAACAGGGATTTCTTTAAATTAAATTGTACATATTGTTGAAAAATATCCTGTGTATGTCTATATTCATGCCTAGTATAAAACAAACATTCTTCATTGCCTATGCCTTTTCCTTCTGTTAATGATGATAATGTAGTTCTCCATCTTATTAATTCCTTCTTCATTCACTTGAAATATTGCCTAATTTTTGTGTGTGTGTATTTGGTTTAGCACCCTGACTTATGGTCAAACTGAAGGTGCTTAGCATGGTCTGGTATGCATTTCTCAGTTTCTCTTGATTTCTGTTTCTGTTTCTGTTTCATTTCATTTTAAGCCGATTGTATTTGCATACATATTGGAGAGGTTATTTCTCGTGTGAAGTTACTATTTTTTTTCAGTTCTGAAGCACCTTCCTCAACTTTGATGGTCTACTTTACAAGAGAAAATATTTCTCTGTTTGTATGGTGCAGGTTTCTTTATGGTCTACTTTACAAGAGAAAACATTTCTCTGGAAGGAGCTGCTGACAAGGTTTAACAACAAACTGGACGGAGTTCTTCACATGGCAAACATAGATGAAGGAACGATGTATGCCTTCACCTTCAGATGCAAGGCAAAGTGCCTCCGCCTCTGTCTAACTTCTCACTTCCTATGAGGACACCATCGTAAACCTTCGGTGTCACCTATATATAACTTGTGTACCAGACTTCATGTTTATAATGC